TCAACTGACATGTTTTCAACTTTTATCGTGTTTTGCGCACACCTTGTTACCGATATGTCGCTCATAGTACAGGAAGATATTATCAAACAACATCTATAACTTCATTTCTTATTTTAAGGAAAAAATCTGATGAGGATTAAAGGGATAAAACACATACATTTTGAACGAAATCATTAAGGAGTGGGATTAGTCTTACTAAAGCGTTATACTGTGAAACATGGAACGTTCGCTATGTATAAATATTCGTTGTTTTGAAGGTTATTGTAGAAAATAAAAACAACAAATTTAGTTTATGTATTTTATTTGTTTCTGTTCGTATTGGGTATCCACGAAAGTTTGTACAACGAAACAATCTAAATGGCTTCAAACCACGAAAGTTTGTACCACAAAATGATCTAAAACCACAAACATTTCATTTTATACAATACTACGTGATTGCCATTTGTAGTCTTAAGTGTGTGTGAGGGTATAGGACGCTAGTTGTAAACGTTTCCTGCAGGTTATGGGTCCTGAAGTCAAACGGTTGTTATATAATGCTAATATTTTTATTAGCAATACACTCAGAGCACTGATGTTTTCATTGTCTGTTCTGTGACTACACCACTTTGGAGTTACACGAAGACATATCTATCCTTACTGAAACCTAATTGTTGCACATTGCACACACAACGTATTTTTGTAATCTAGTTTACACGGCTAAAACTGGAATGTTCTCAGTTGAGTACCGGTTAAGAAACAACAACCGTATCTTTGTCATCAGGAAATGTGTTATGCATAAATGCAAAAGTGACACGCCCAACGATAATGTGATGGTATCTTTATTAACTTATTAAATATTGGTACATAATGTGTGTCCTAATGCATTTAAAACAGAAGTTATTTCATACTTCACGTAACAGTTTTTATCTTCGGTGATGCGAGTATATGTATTACTCTAAGTGAAAACTCAAATGAATCTTTGAATCTTTAATAAAAGCTATCTTACACAACATAACACGCCAACAGATCAAAATCCCAAGGTTTGATTACAAACACGTTACTTTGTAAACTGAAGTATCAATATTGATTAGGTATTCCAAGTTATATTACACTAATGCCCCAATACAAGATAGTCTGGTTTTATTGTAAATGTCATGTCAGATCATAAGGCTTTACGATTTTAAAATGGCATGTTTCAAGAAAAAAACGAAGGCTGATATAAGATACAATAAACGCACATTTTAATAGGTGAATGACATGTTTACCCTTATGTTTATCCACGACTACCGATTTTCTCCTTGTTTTTGAAACTCCGATTTATATATCTTTGTTGTTTCAAGATATTTTAATGCCTTTTCTGCAGGTAATAAATTTCGTCAGTGACATTGGTGGCCAACTCGGCCTCTGGATTGGAGTCTCAATTTTGAGCCTTTTGGAAGTCTTGGAACTAGTGTGTCTTCTGATAATGAACATTTGCCAGCAGAGCAAACTCGGAGTCTTACACAGGGAGGCAACTTCTTCAAAACTGGAGAAAGACGGCCAACATCAACCAGAAATGATGCAAGTCCAAGACTTGACCATATAAGATAAATATGCTATTTCTTTGTTATATTTATCATGACTTTTTTTCTATTTCTCTAAAGAGATTTCTATTTGAGTATACCAGAACTGTCTTGAAAGCCTCCCTTGGAAAGATAGTGAAGAACCGTTGCAAGAGACCGGTTGCAACTTCTGAATGACTAGTTCTGAACTGCAGGGACAGTAATTCATAAACATGTTGTATGTTCATGCTTAACATGAGATGACACTGATGTATTATAGTGTACTGATTTATGGGAGAAAATGTTTTCTATCCGATGAACTATTTGTTTATACAGGAGTTTGTGAGCTTTTACCCTATGGGTAATATTAATGACATGTATATACTAGCATATGTTATATTTTACCGTATTGTTAATATCGATGATGAAATATGTATTTTAGCTAGAGTATCAATATATAAAGTCAACCATTTCGTTTGAAATATCTTTCCATGAGGGAAATATTTATGCATTTTCATATATATTGAGTGACATTTATCAACAGAAGATACTCGAATATGTTATCGAAAGTCCTGTAGTCACGAGTGAAGTATATATCGACAATATTGAAGGTGATAATGCATCATTTATATTTATTAATTGAATACTTTATGATTAATGAATGTCTCTAAAAACGAGTATAGATATACTATATAGTCTGATTAGACAGCAATATCAGAGCGGGTAGCATGTCAGACAACTGACTGAGTGATTGTAGGCTCGAACCACGCCACATCGGTTCTCTCTTTTTATATTATTGACTACACTGACGTAATACCATTTGGAAGAAAACTGAGATGACGATGAACGTAACGAGTAAATGTTTTCCAGGTTGGGATAATGGGGTTCACACTATAAAGGACAAAGAGATAAACATATCTATAATTGGTATTTGTAACATTAGTTTCTTTGTCGTATTCACATTCATGTTACTGACAAGCAAATCCCAATGTCTGCTATGGAGAGTGTTATTAAAATACCTACGACAATAGGCATAACGTGTTCGTCCTCCTCTACGTGGTCATCAGACTAAACAAACCATAACCTCTACGTAAACCTAATATATGTTTTGATTTAATACCTTGATGTTTTGTATCATACTGTTTTAAGGCAAACTAGTGTATTATGTGTTAAATTGTAAACCAAGGATCCCCGTAACACAGAGAAAACCTGTCACATTGGAAAATGTTCTTCCCTGTATCGCTATAGCTTAGTCAATAATTTCTGATAAGACACCATATCTCGCGAGTCTTTTACGAAGACAATAAGAAGGAGGAAGTAGATCACATGTGTTCAACGACAGTTTTCTGAGCATGAAGATTTAGCGGGACTAAACCGGGATTTTAACCCCAAAACTGAGATTGAAATATTATCGCTCTAACCGACTAAGCTACATGTCAACCTACAAGTAAACGGAAGTGTGTTGGCCAAACTGCGGAACAGCTATATCAAAAACAATATAAAGGGTAGGTTAATGTTTATTCAAAGACCCTGAGTGTAGTCGAAAGGGGATCATTAAACCTAGTTTTCTATTTCATATTCTCATTAGGTTAGGTTTTAATATATGTAACTGTTAAATAAATGTTTTACGTTTAATTGTGTCAGCATTCTTTTTTATTTATTTTTTATTTTTCAAATTATCTTTTTTTTCGGATTGATATCATGCATGTATCGTTTTTATTCTACTATTTTACTTTGTTCGTATATCTATTTTTGATACATCAAGAACTATCTTCCTCTTTCTCCCACCACCATTGTAGGTTTCCTCTATTCCGACTCATTCGATAAACTAGCTTTGTGTTGGTAAACAATTTTAGTAATCTACTAGTGTGTAACACCCCGGAGGTTATTTCATTGGAAGATCTCATAATTATAACAATACTTTGTGACGGCTTGTTCTACTGTGTCGTCATTGCTCATTATTGTGCGACATTATTATTATTCTATAAATAAATTTCTATCTACGGATCCATTCAAGGTACTTAAACGTAGAAATGAACTTGTTAATCATCAACTTTTCGTCGATTGTATTGCTTGATCGAAACGATCTTCATAAGACAACTTACACGTGATTTTTGACAATGGCGTCTTGGTTCTTCTGTGTGTAATGAAAATAGGATGCATCAGACTCTAAACGTTTGCCTCCAGTATTCATAGACACGTTTATAATGCATTATAAATATTATTTTTATCGTATTCTTTTTAAAACAAGCTAACATTATCATCGGTCGAATTGTCTTCTAGTTACAAAAGTGTCCAATTCGACGTTGGCGACATGAATATATTTTTATATGAGATGCACTTGCTCTTATTTATGACTAAGTTATAAGAGTTTTTTTTAATACCAATTGATTAATTTTCCGACTTAACCGAATTCTCGGTCTTAGTTGCCAAATACCGAAAAAAACTCGTTTCTCATAATTTGATTAATATATATGAATGCCATATCTTAAATCATGATATTCTTATCATTTTGTTTAAAAAACATTTACACAGCTGAGAAATATCCCGATTACGAAATTCCGCAAAGTTACACACGCTGTCATATCGCCCACGTGTTAGGACGTCGATGTCGAAAATACTTCGAGTACCATTCTTGTTCCATAGTTACACTGAAAGAGTTAGTATATAAGTTTAACTAACCGAATATGATTTCTCTCAAATTCTAAATAATATCGATGAGATATTTTGTTTTATTGATGACGAATGCTACATTTATTTATGACAAATATAGAAACAAGAAAATATGGATGAATTCTCATATAGGGGAGGGAACTCCCGTTCGGTAGGAATTTACCTACCATGTCAGTCAAAACACGAAATTTCAGAAGTACAACATTTATTCACAAAATCTTTTTTTCGACATTTCAAAAAAGATATACACATAAAAATATAAACACGATATTAAAATTTGAAAACTCCACAAATAACATAGAAAGTCCAATACCCTCTCGAAATCAATGAATGGGTAAGATAAAGTTGTGTGTAATGACGCGCACAACTTATACCATCTTATTATTGTCATAATGCTTTATATAGTTCTGATTGGATGGTTCCTCCCCAGGTCTCCAGACTGCATCTCTTAAGTTCTGAGAAATTATATCTGCAGGCATCCTACACTTCTATCACTAAGAATACCTTCTTTCAGAGATTTCGGGGTTCTATGTGATGTATAGTTGTCTATGTTCCATACGTACAGTGATCAAACATCACAGACACCATTTGGAATCAACTAACATAGACACATATTCCGTCTTTGCGTATTGCAGAGTTATCTTCTCTTGTGAGCAGGTATTGATTGCTACGTCTTTGGCTTGTGTGAGAAAATTGCGTCGATTTCTCAAACATTGATGACGTTACTCTCACAAACAAATGACGTAACAATCAATACCTGCTCACAAGAGAAGATAACTCTGCAATACGCAAAGACGGAATATATAAGAGAAATTCAGTGAAGATCTCGTGTACATACGTGTCGGGCTAATAAAGTGTAACATTGTGTTACATTCGTTCCATTTCAACGTCCCTCTGCTTTTTATCCGGATCCTTCTCCTTTATACGATTTCGCCTCACACACGCGTTGATAAATAGACAAAAGAGTTCTATGATTTCTATGAGACTGAGCACTGAGAAGCCCGCCCACAGTCCTAACTGTCCTCCTATGTCACTCAGGAAATTCTCCTCCTAAACAACAAAATTTTGTATTTGAGAAAGTATCACATGTTACAGCAGTAAGCAACAACTGTATACAACTGCTTTCGGTAGAAAGAATTCGCGGAATAAGTTCATCATAAAGAACATTTCTATGGAATTAAATTCAAAAGACTTATCAAAACAGCCACTGATGCTCTGTAAATGGATTGAAACATTGTTAATAACTCAAAATAATTCATTTTTATTCTGATGATATAAAAGAACAGTATTCTTTTTCTAAACCAAACATCACTGGGCTTATAATCAAATAGAAATAGACAGGCTTACGAATCAGACATATATTACACAAAGGTGTATGAAACGGGATGTAGTGTATAATACATTATATATGCTCAAAGCTCAAGTTGGATGCTATAAAATAATTTAAGCTTACAATGCAGATGTAAGTATACTAACTGTGTAAGCAACCTCCTCTTCAACAACTTCTTTTGTCAACGAGTGCAGATATACCCTCACATTCAGTATGTCACTACTGTAACGGATGATAGAAAAAAACATTAAACTAAAAGGTGCGATACAAATAATCAATTACCTGTAATTCGGGTTATCTCAGTTTCGGGATAAGATTCTGTTACATCCCAAACTCTGTTTACGCCTTGGTTGATATTATGTTACATGATCTTAGCCATCGAATGAGATAACCCCCTCTCGCTCACTTTCAGGTAATATATTTTATCAATCTCTGTGTCAAGACATTCCTTTATATAGAATCTTTCAACCTGAAATAAAAATCATTCAACAAGCATGGATTATTTTTTGCCTGCACAATACAAACATAATCAAAGAACACATACATACCTGATTTTGTGATAGTCCTTTTTGCTCCTTTTATCTAATGCAGTTACAATAGGTTTGAAATTCCCAGACGGCCAGCGTGTCATAGACATTATTGGAATGTATCGTGTCTCCCTAGTAAGACAAATAAAAGCTTTTTTACGGTTCTGTGCAACACATATGCATATTTCCGACTATTTATAATTTCTCAATAACCAAATTTTATAAACACGCGTTGTTGTTCCAGGAAATCACACACGCACAAAACAACAACAAACCAAAATATTGAAAGTATTTTCGTGCTGGCAAATCGATATATTTTTTGTTTGTTCAAATTTGGTCTTAAATAGAGTGTCTTGATTTTTCCTGAAACAATATGGTATATTCGAAGAAAGAAAACATTTGATTAATTTTGTCAGACAAATGAAGAGTTATTATAAAATAGTTGTCCGACGGGAAATACGAATAGACGATAACATGTATGAATTAGAACATTTTTTTTATATATATATTTTTATGAATTTTTCAAATACCTTGCAAGCGGTTAACCAAATGGGAAACATAGACTCGTTTTACTAGTATCATATCAAAATGGAAACTGTGAGATTCTCTATTCTTTATTAATAGTTTTTTCATGTGAACTTCAAAACCACTACATATGTAGTTAAAACACATATTTCATAAACCATAACAAACTATTCAAATAGTATGGCTATCAATTTTGAACTTACACGCATGGGACCTGGCACTGACTGGAACAATAATCTTGAAAAATGAATTTTCTTATTTCTCTTTGCAGACACTCTAAATCTGTAATATATAATTTCAAATTATTTAACCAGTATAGAATACTGCTCATTATAAAGAAATATGTAGCTAAAATATATATAAATACACTTTAGATGATATCTGACACACGACATAAGGTGGGAAAATATAGACAGCTGTCGAATATATTTCTATAATTCTGACTTGAAAACAAAGTATCCTACCGAATTTCATAAGCAAAAAGTCTTTTACAATTGAAGTCATTGTAATGGTTTGCACCTTTGATAAAGCAAAAGTATACATAATTGATATCTAATTTGTTAGTATTAAAATATTATTTTGTATTACATAACTCATGAATTACCTTGCAAACATAACTTTGTACTTTTACTCTGGGATCCTGGCATCATACTAACTATATGAAATAACTCCTGCTTGTGAAAATGTACAAACAGTCTTATTAAATTCAAAACTTGGTGTGACTTTTGCAATAAACTAAACACGTATTTCCTGGAAGTGGCTTAACTTTAATTCATAAGTGGATGACAAATATGTGAAATATGAACTGTGTATGGCCTCTATCATCTTAGGAAATAATGCTATTTCTATCAAATATGTATGTTTTAAGGGTCTTTTTCATGGTAAAACCGAAAAAGTGTTATACTATTTAAATTAAATAAAACCAGTTTTGAAACCTTTGTTTATTACTTTTCCTTAACAAAAGGGAAACTTCAAAACATCATTATTATTCAGTCTACTTAGGAGGAATAGCTTCCGCTATATTTTTCTATACTGTCAATGTCTAAAATATGTAAATATTATGTTTGTCACTGGATGTTGCTGTAGGAAGAGGACTTCAGAAGACAATGTCTGATGTCCAATCATGTTGACTACTCTTTTTTTGTCAATAAAACATGTTGAAATATGACGTCATGGTACTTTTTCCAGGTCCATGACATAATATTTACACGAAACTTCTCCTTTCTCTGCCTTTATATTAAAGCTACTTTTGAAAACAAAGTTATGTTAATTGTATGAGTGCAAGTAGCAGAAACATTTAATATTACATAAATAGTATTGAAGCAATAAAAAACAATATTATTGCATAAAAATCAAATGTATTAATCAAAAACACTCAGAAAACAACCTTCAACGTCGCATATTCTGTCAACACCAGCAAATCCTCTTGAAGTTGATCGGTGATTACACTCGCATAACAACGCCAAACTTTTCGCCTGACAAAGCTGGACACATTCCTAACCAAATTATGAATGAAGTAATAATTAATAAAACAAAGGAATCACACAGACCTTACTCATAGATATGGCATTTAGATCATTTCTGGTGAAAATGAATTTACAGTTAAGACATGTGTTATCTCAATATGTCTCTGTAATTCCTATCAAAATTCTATAACCTTATCATGTGACAGAGTACCTGTTCCAGAAAGTGTAGTTTTATGTCTCTATCTTAACAGCTAATCCAAAGTATACGTCAATAGACAGGATTATTTTTGTTTCAAAAATTTATCATGGGATATTGATTTATACTTATATATTAATATATCAATATCAAAATTACAAAGCGTAATATTTTGATAAGTACTGTGTTTACGATACGTAGTTATCACTTTCTACGCGAGTGCATCATGTTGTAGAACTTCAGTTCGACATACGCCAGTGCATATGAAACTTTGTATTTATAATTAGGTACGTAAAAAACACGCAGGAAGGACATTTTTGCACACGTATGTTGTCCTGGCGCCGACCTCAAGATCACTGGCACCAAATCGCCTTGCCGAGCAAGTATGACAATTACACTGTCACGGTTTTTTTTTTATAAACAAGTTAATATGCTGCAATGATCAACAACACACCAATCACGACATGTTGATCATAGTGAAAAATCATCCATCGATAATACCTTGATAACAATGTATATAGATATAAACTTGGATGCGAATTGTATAAATGTCATATATTCATATATTAGAAACTGAACAATTACAATTGTTAGTATATGTGATGTATTAACACAAATAGCAGGTAGGATATATGGGATACATGTGTTAACCCTTAATAATGTAAGACATATGATATGTAGGATACATGTGATATACATGTTCACAGTAAACAACTGTTAAACAAATCAAATTATGAGGATTATACATGTAGCACTAAAAGTATGTAATTCTTGTAAAAAACCATAAAATTTGTTTTCATAAACAAGTGCAATTTGTGTGACCCTTTTTCCCAATTTTCAAAGAGCAGATGACTAGATGTCTTCCAATCGTAAGAGTCGGATCCCTTTTAAACAGGTATGAGCACTTATGAACTAATCCCTTTTCCAATGAGTATAATAACGAAAGTGCAGATAAAGGAATTCATCAACTTTTCGACGCAACTTCCCCTTTATTACATCAACTTGGAAAAATTACAAAGACCAAACATATTATAAAGAGATAGGCAGCCAAAATGAAATATATGTTTATATCATCAAATATAAATAAGAGAACACCAGTTATTACGTATAACACGCTAATGTTACCCCATACCCCTGCAGCCGGGTATAGTAGTTATACTGAAAAATTCTTCTTTAGATCGTCAAATTGTGTACTTTATCGAATAAATATATACAACGATGTGAATATATTTCATTGTGATGAATTAGCGATACTATTGCCCTGAAATGTAAGGGATTCTAGAACAAGCGAAGTCCCTGCGAGGAAACAGTAGTTTACTTCACAATGGTCTAGTAGAAAGTACGTTTGCTTTGACGTATAACGTAAATATTTTGGTAAACATCGGTATGTTACATTTTCTTACTTAAGGATGTACACCTCTGAGAAGTCAAAAAATTCCTGTATTAAACTTTTTTTCTTATATTAATTTTTGGAAAAAGGAGATGACGGCATAGTAGAAAATGCAAAAAAATAAATATGTCCGTGTGTTCGTTTTTGTGCTATGATCGGTCAAAGATACCAATTTAACACAATAGGTGATTTTAGGTGAATTTTCGGGTTTTGACCATTTGCAGAACACATTCATACAATTTCTTCCAAGTGTGTTATCAGATATGTATGAATGTTTGTAGAATTGATTAAAATATTATTTTCATTTAAATTATGGAAATAAAATTTCGTAATCTTATTCATTTTACTCAGAAATGCGATTTTAGTTACCCCTACCCCTTATTTCTAAATGAAAAAATGCACGTTTTTTCACCATTTTTTTGCAGATTAAACACTTGATATAAAAAAATCCTGTATTAACTTTTTTTAGTATTCAATGCATCAAAAGAAAATGTGTTTCTCTTTCTAAAACAGCCACAAAAATGGGGGGTCGGTGTGCTTCTTTTTTTGTCCCATTATTATTTGTGTTATTTTTCACCTTTTTCGGGGTCAAAAATCAAAAGTGCTTCAGTTACCCTAATATGTAAAAAAAATTACCAATAATATATAACTTTCCACTGTTTGGCATATTATTTAAATCATATTGAACATTATAAAGTTGTACAGCAAAATTGAACCTGCTACATTTAAAAATGGTGACAAAATGACAATTTAAGTGATCAATCTAGTGTCAAAAAAAGTGAATTTTTGCCCTTTGTGAAGCGCAAGATATTCACATAAATATACCTTTTCAAAATGGCCGCCAAATTGGTCTTTTTTTTCAAATTCTTGTAAAAAATGTTCTACACACAACAGACATCTAGTTTTTTGACATGTTTTTCAGATGTGTGTTTGCTATTAAACCTATCATAATTTGTTAAATATTGCAAAAACCCGTTACACCAGATCAAAACGAGACTTGAACGTGACTGAAACCTCAGAAGAGTACATCCTTAAGGAGGAGTGTATTGGGTTAATATCTGTATGTTAGTGACTTAATCACGATGGTGGTATGATAATTAACACTATGTGATTATCACACTATAGCTATGATAAAACTCACCAGTGAGGAGGAGAGTGTGTTGTAAATGTCACAATCATCGGTTCCCTCGTATCGGCGTCGCTCAGTCTAAACAGGGCAGATAATTATTAGGTTATTATTGGTATATTATATTCCTTATTCCATGTAGAATGTTGAAGTACATATCATATCTATAACTTAATGATTGACCAGATCTAAATTTATCAAGTAAAAAATTAACATTAAACACGTTTGTTAAATAATGTACAACGATTTGATTTCATTAATTTAAGCTTCTATTTAAATATTTTGAAAAAGAAATCGCATGGAAATTACAAAAAAAGGAATATTTGTTAGATATGTAAAGAAACTTAGTATGCTAAATATAAGCCGATATATTTCTAGAAAGTTACAACCAAAGCAATTGAGATTGCTGTTATTCGATGTAATATGAATTGTAAATCAAGAAATGTTATATATGCTGTTATTTGTAAGAGATGCTCTGAACTTTACATAGGTCAAACTTGAAATGAACTACGTCAAAGAATGGCAGTCTATCGTCAACAAACTAAAACTGATAGTTAACGAAATTTATTAGTTAACAAACATTTTCTTCAGTGTTTAAACGATCAGTTTTAAGTTTTACTAATTAACCAAATGAACACATCAGATACTATTGCAAGAGAGTTAAAAGATAACATGTTTATTAATATTCTAAAACCGGGCCTGAACGTGGGAAATTTCTAGCACCTCTAATAAGTTTAAATTTACAATTTCCATATGTTTAATATGTTCTGACGAAGTAAGTATTGTGCTTTGAGATTCATTTTTACTATCAGTTGTTTTTAACTTTTATTATTGAACAATGAATACATTTGAGCATTTGTAATATGCTCCGTTTCTTTTTCCATATATTTCATTGACGCATTTTATGCAAGTACACTCATGTAATCTTTTTAAGACGTCGCAATTTCTAGACGTCCGCATGATGTGTTTTGTTTACGACGTCATTATTTTTGACGTGTTAAGTATATGTTCTCCATTTATGACGATACAAATACATTTAAAGCCCAAAGATGGGCGAATGCGCTAGCTGATTATAGTTTTCGTGTTTTGTTTTATTTATGTACACGTATATTAGTATGGGGTAAATTTACCGTCGAAAGTCCTACGTTGACCGAAAATCCCGTTGGAACAGATATACCATAATTGACCAGGTCGGGAGGATGTCCTTGGCCAGTTATGGCCATTCGGACACCTACGGACTCTGAAATGAAGGGAACATACTCGACCTGTCGCACGTTCAGTGTCAGCTCCAATCCTTCAAAACAAGACAGAAAGCAAGAAATAGAATAAAAGGATAAAACAGCATTGGTACTCTGAAAACTGGAGGGAAATTAAGTGTTCAGAACCACATGTCGCAGGTCAGTGTCTTTTAAATATTTCAAATCACAAAATGTATATACCAACCATACACAACTTTATAATGATGATATAATATATATAGGTATATAACTTATTATAGCACTTATATAGCACAATAGTTCTATACCCAGTTGGATCAAGGTTTATTTATCGCTTTATCGTTTTGTCACGTTTATTAGCTCTATGGTTTGAATTCCCACCATTTTTGTTGATTACCCTAAATACCCTAATTACCACAACTCAAAGAGAAACATACATATGTGATTGAATTCAAAATGATTACCTTAGAACAGACGTTTAAAATGTGAATCGGTCTACATTCATCATGAACGTTTTATTAAATCATCGTAGCTACGAGTATCGGTGAAAACAAAAGATGGTTTAATCAATGCATTTGCATTAAAAATTATAAGAATGACAAATTTACCGTATCTTTCTGAAATGATAAATCAAGCAATGCAAGGAGGATAATATTAATCTTAATTGTATCCAAAATTAGATTTAAGTTCAAGACAAAACGTGGCATTTATGGACTCAAACACAGAAACTCATATATCAGAAGGGCTCTAACCCAGAATATCATATATCAGAAGGGCTCTTACCCAGAATATCATATAGCAGAAGGGCTCTTACCCAGAATATCATATATCAGAAGGGCTCTAACCCAGAATATCATATATCAGAATCAGCAGGACTCTCACCCAGAATATCATATATCAGAAGGGCTCTAACCCAGAATATAATATATCAGAAGGGCTCTAACCCAGAATATTATATATCAATGTCGTCTTCTTAAAACTTATGCAATCAGTGATAGTGTGAAACAACTATTTAGAGTCAGTATGATGAAAGTCCTTACTCTAAAAAAGGTAGAGTGTGAATTATTTCGTAAGGTTGACCTACCAATCGCCTCCTCCAGTAAATGGAGAAACACATACTAGTTTACTAGAGGTGTTTATGTGATGTTTAAAATGTACATTCGTTATCACTTACCGAAGCTTGGCCCAGCGATTTCGGCTATCATGTTCGAAGTGTTTAGCATGAAGCAGATGCCAAATCGGTCGTCTCGAAACAAGGTAAAATTTCTGAAGCAATTTAGATAATAAAACACATGAAGGACAGTTCAGGAACGACATAGAATTTGATAAAAACTTGATTTACATTACTTTTCTAACTCAGATTATAGCATCGATGAAAGTACTTACATAAAATCTGCATACCTGATTTACACATGTGTAATCTTTTATGATTCGTATGTACTTTATACTCGTCGTTTGTTTGATAACAAGAATTGTATGAAATTATAATAATTCAATAGTATGGGTATTTCCCTAGTACAGTTAAAATTAAAGTATTTCGAAACCATTGACCTCCGGTTTCCCGAAAACAGAAACATTTCTGTTACGTTATTACAACTGCTATTCTAAGATTAGAGAGAACATAGCTACTGAATGTAAGGTGCACGAATAGTGAAAGACCACCTACTTGTGGACACTTTATTGTTCGGGGGGCTGACCCCAGGGCTCCTCAACCCTGGCAGCCTCCAACAACCACTGAATATTCGCATATGCATATGTCAAAGATCTATGAAAATGAGAATATCAAAATGCTGAGAGATTAAAATTTGTATAAAAAAAAAACAGATTAGAGAGAATCTTGATTTACATCTACATTAGAACGTTCGTCTTGAGTTCGTCCTCTAACTGAGGCATGAGATTCCTTATGTTATTTTTTTCTATTCTAATGTTCTTTGATCCTTTATCTTATTGGTTATAATATAAAACTGTTGATCATGTGGAAAAAGATATGTATCGCTACTCACCTTTCGGAACATGGTTCACCATGAAATTTACAGTCTATCACAAGGTCATCAAAGGCAGACGTCATATTCAATATTTGGTCATCAGAGAGATCCATCATTCGCAGAGAAAACAAACTCCTCATCGATTCATGTGGGTCTTTAAAACGATCTACAATATTAATTATGGAATACGTGGATTTGCTTTATCATTTTTGTTGAGATATACCAGACAAACTACGTCTTATTACTAAGGTTCCGGTGGATGTTTTACATTCGACATACTAAGTTTATCATTGAGAGTATCATCTAGGAATAGGAGAAAACATGAGCAAATTTTACACGACAACAGTAATTAATATGATGTAATTCAACAGTATATTTCCATATTACACTTGATCCTTACAAACGCACGTGTGTAGGATACGGATTACTTTACCTTTGTGTATGGGGCAATCAAGTTATGCCAACAAGGAAGACGATATGAGGTTGTCACACTGTCTATACTGTTGCACTTCCTTGTCCCTGATATATATATATTGATTTCCCCAATGACACACAAGGAGAGAATGGTAATGGCATTGCAATGGACCAATGCGTTCCACGAATATACAATTATATAAGTTATGACAAAAATGTTAACTCACTTATGTCCAAGGAAGAGGTATAGTTGTAATTTGGTATCTGTAAAAAACAGATATTTTTTAATTGAAATACAACTCTATGGAATCATAAGACGTGCTAATAAACACCATTTCTATAATTCTTTGCATACCTTACATTTACGTTATATTCATCAATTAAAAATATATATACTCATATTTGTAATAATTGACTTAAGTTCTACAGCAAACATATACACAACGCCACAAGGATAAAAAAAATTGGAACATGTTCACCTAACCAAATGGCTCTAGGAACAAAGTAAGTAGCAATATAAAAGCAACAATTAAAGACCAGAGGAGGAACAAGGAGCTCCAGGTGACTGTCGAAATGTCACTGTGTCTAGTTGGGAATTCTGTTTAAAAACCCTCACTACTATCCACATCACGTACCTCACTATAGGCCGGATTCTGAAACTGGGTCAGATTTATTTCCCAAAACTCCGATAGTTCTTCGATAATTTGAAACACTGGTGGCCATTTCTTTACCTCCGAGTAAAGGAGTGGATTTAGGTCACAGAATGTAACGGCAGGGAAAACTTGGTTTTCGTGAACTATCTGTATTTTGGTGTTCAGAGGTATTCTGAAAATACATGAGATAAAACAAATCAGGATTGGAAAGTGCATTCATGAGGAATATTTTGTCAATTTAGGCAGGATCACCGAGTTAATGTATACCGCCATAGATTTTGTCTTTAAAGATGTGCAAGTTAAAAAGCTTTCAATTGAGATTAAAAAAAAAGTTTGTTTTTTTCTGGGTTTTTTTCCAAGAAGTTATCCTTAGATACGACAAACGGGAAGAGATTGTCACTTTGGCAGATCTAAACACCAGAAAAATAATAAAAAAAATCTTTATTTTTTTATCTCAATTGAAAGATTTTGTATCTTGCACTGCCCACGAAGCTTAAAATATAAAATCCAGACGCAGTTTCACATAGTTCATCTTGTTTCTTAATGTTTAATTGTGTCACACCGATGGAAATCATAACCAACCAATAGACATTTGTTTTAGATCGTATACACCACACTGTGAGTGGTTTTTACATCTTTCAACCAAACATGCTGCTAGTCTCTACGTCTAATAGAATGATAGAAATGTAGCAAGTATTGTATAAGCTATTTCATATGTATTGCAATTCGCCTTCTCGAAAATTCGATAGAAATGACAAACCCTCCCTCCTTTTATGTCTTGTGTTTAATTCAATACTAAAGTATGATAGGATTACAGTACACAAAAGTCACACGGAAAAGGCTATCCAAGTCAAAGAGTATATGCCTAGAACAAATAATTTCAAAAAAGCCATATTTGAAAGTATAAAGTTACACTCGTCGAAGCAAATATTGCAGAAAAAAATATAGAGGTATTGATCGAGTAGGCGTATACATATGTTTTAAAACCCTGGCCACGAGCGATGTGTGTAGGCAACTGTAGCATGGAATTTCGTCGTACTCATGGATTACATGCGCACACCGACTTACAATATACACAATGACACATACAAGTTAAATGATGTGTTGTCTGATGTTGAAACATCGTCTTTAACTGTTTATTGGAGTATATGATGCATGTTATACTCTTCTATATCTATACGTTTATTTAATAATAACCAACGTAACCTTATATCCCAAAGAGAAAGAAAATGGTAACAATTAAAGAAAGAAATATTTAAGTTCACTTACCTCCTGAACTGTGCTGCGAGTTTGGTTATTTGATAAGTGCATGCACTGAAGGAGGTCAGACAGACGACAAACCAGAAGATTTTCTGTATCCAGTAACGCGCCTCGGAGAGTCGACCTAGGCCGTGGATACTGGTATAGCTCATGAAGTTTCGGAAAGTTTCACGTATTATTCCTGGAACCATTTTGAAAACTACCCGTTATTTCGCATACGTTTGTATAAGGGCAAACAGACTTTCGGTATATACTCCTGACAATTTTGAACAGGGCGTATCTTTGTTGCTATGTAATTTGTGATGGCCCACTATTTGACTATTTAGAATTATTTCACTAAAGTCTGATTCAGAGAACATAGAACATGATATCAGAAACGTAGTTTCAAGTCTACCCTTCAATATATTAAACAAAATTCCTAGTTTCTTCGTGTAGTCCAGATTCAGTTACCATATAAAAGTATTAAAAAAAATGTAACTCCTGCCCTTAGACTAACACATTGTGGACATTATACAGATACTGTAGTTAACGGGAATATGTGATTAGATACAGACAGAAATGTGACCAAACATTATCCGAATTATTTACAGAATATAGCAATACACTTTATTGTTATGTATCATATGGTCTGTGTCCATTCAACGTTATCTCCAATATTGCAATGATGATCTCTTTGTTGTTGCGTGAAATAGACTGATTATTCATAGTAATTCCCATCCCTCAAAGCACCATTCAATATTTGCATATTTGAGATAAATACGATACATGCGTCATTTAGTTTTTGATTGCAAGGAACATTTAGTGTAGGTATTCAAACCACTCCTATTCCACAAGGAATACATGAAATATAAAACCGGTTTTAATTGGGGCAATATGAATTCCACCACCATTATAGGAGGTAGCTATGGGGGATTAATATGACACAAACTTATTATAATGGGTATGTGAATAATTGAAATCATCAAATGTTCCTATGGTGGGTGGGTTTTGATATATTCTACATCTAATTTTGTTTTCTTGTAACAGAAAAGAATATTCACAACTAACAAATAAGCACAAAGCATCGATATATATTAAATCAACTTAGACCGCCCAAAAATTCTTCTATAATTATCATTATTTATTGAAATTTTGTTTTTGGTTTAGTTTTGTATGATGTGTCCTATGTTCCTGTTGTTGTTATTTAAGTTGTCGACTTTTGGTGTCAAGTGTGTACTTGTGTGTTGATGCTATAGTTTACTCTATTTTGTATTTTTTCTTACACTTGTGTCTATAATTTACGGTGAACTAGCTCAATAGAAATATCGATCAGAGTTCTGCTAATACCAAGTTTATATTTATAACATTGTCATTACCGAATAATAAAATCTTTGTGGTGAATATCCATTTGTTATACTGCTACTTTATGTTATTATAGAGACCGTTCCAAGCGAGCCATATACGTGTATCTGGGCCCGTATTCATGAAGCCGTTCGCATGCTTAAGCATGGATATTGTGCGCACGCCTAATTTCTTGTTTCGTTAGAAATTAATAGAAGAATCATTTTTTTTCAATGACTTGGAAAACATTTGAAGAGACTTAAAAACGAATACTGTTTTCAATGTTTAAATATGATTTGTTTTTATTGTTTTACGTGATTTAAGTGAGTTACAAGAAAGCTGGTTAGAACACAGAATCTATGCTTGAGCTCGAGAACAATTTCGTGAAAACGGGCCCAGGTGATTCGTTTTATAGATTAAATACACGCATCACTGCATACATAGGCATGCCTACCACATTACAAACCTTTAATTATTTTAAAAGTTCTAGTAATTTTATATTTGCTTCAACTCAACAATATCAATATTTTTTAACAGCAGTGCAGTGCTCTGTGTAAAAGCAGTGCAGTGTCTTTTACATGATGATGATAATTTCGATTCCGAAAAGATTTATATTTGGTTTGCTTTGATAACGAGATCTATATTCTACCGTACTTTATCATAAAAGGAATCGAGCTTTGTATATCTAGGTCTTGATGTTTCTAAATTGATCAATTAAAAACTTGTCTTCTCTCAATTAGAACACTATTGCGCCATGTTTTAGCCATGTGGATTAATAGGATGTTAATTGATAATGAAAATGTTATGATAGGAATCAATATTGAAATAATCAGGAGAATTAACGCCTGTTTGGTAGGGTTTGTTTATTTCCCTGTTGACTTATGTCCTAATTGTTTATGCTGCGAAATGAGATTCTAATCACATGAGAAAGCGGCTAGTTATTACTCATAATAATAAAATCAGAGAAAAAAATGAAATATTAATTAATCAATTAATACCTCATACTCGTGGGCAGTATCAGATATGTCCAGGGAAATAAGCTGTTTACCACTAAAACGTGGCAATTGATTTGAAACGTGACGATATCTTGTTTGTCTCGAGGTCATTGAAAGTATTGCAGTAATTATTTCAAACGAAAATCTCATGTGATTTTAGTTTTCAATAACAAAGCAAGGTTATACCTTAAACAGAGATATATACCTAAAACAGGGGCAACGTTCTCTCATTCAACGAAAGAAGCATATAGTTTGTTTTAAACAGTTTCTCTTATAGGTCACCATGTGATGCATGTGAACTCGTGTGCTCTCGGTACGTTGCATTGCTGACAGTTCTATTGCGATTTGTTAGTGTATCTCGTATCAGCTATTACTATGTTACTTTGACGGCCTTCCATAGTAGGCTCTTGGTCTTAAGTTATTTTCCCAGAAACCTCGTTTTCACAAGGTGTTTCAATTTTTAAGTGTTTATAGATAAAGGTTTTAGTGAAAGACTTTCTTTATTATTACTATTATTCATGGCGTTTGGAATTCAGGTTTATTCATCAAAATAACTAAGTTTTAGCCAAAGGTTGTCAGTTATGTCAAATATAGCTGGCAATGAAGATGGTCAGATTTACAGTAATTTTATTCCGCAATTCAACTCACTATGGGTTCAAATATCCCTATCAGCGAGAACCGTAGAGAGGAGGTCGTAAAGGCCATACATATTATACTTGTACCTAAACCCTTTGTTATCCATAAACAATTATTGTAGCATTTGACAGCGCCTCACATATTGATCGATGGTGCTTTTTTAAACAGACTCGAAACAAAACATTATAATGCACCTGATATGATAACATTTCTATACCATTAATTTGCCAAAGAGTTTGAAATTGGTCTATAACATAGGATCTGAAATTGGTCCATACAATAGGATTTGAAATTGCTCTATATCATCTGAAATTGGTCTATAACATAGGATATGAAATTGGTCCATACCATAGGATCTCAAATTGGAAATACTAATAACAATACAATCTTATCTTCTTGGTGTAATTATCAATGTGGGTGTCGTTTTATTTTCGTTGTCGGGTCCGGCATGATAATATCGTCACTTGGCCGTTAAGCAATTTACTAACCACCTTCTTGAATCAGGAAAACTTTTAATGTTTCTTACTTGATGAAGAGACTAGTAGAATTTCCGTTAAAGCTAACAACATTTTTGAGGATCGGACCCTGAGTTAATTATGCAAGTACCTGGACACAGAATTAATTATACTTGCATCTGGACACAATGTTAACTAAACTTGTACCTGGACCCTGAGTTAACAATATTCCTACCTAAAACCTAACTTAGCTATGCATAACCCGGACCATGAGTTAGCTATACTTGTACCCGGACCCTGAGTTAATTATACTTGTACTCGGACCCTGCGTTAACTATACTCGTACCTGGAGCCTGAGTTAACTATACTTGTACCTGGATGAAGAGATAACTAAACTTTCATCTGGACCATGAGTTGACTATACATGTAACCAGACCCTGATTGAGTTAACTATACTTGTACCTGACCCAGAGATAACTGTACTTGCACCTGGATCATGAGTTAACTATACTTGTACCTGGATGCAGATATAATTATACTTGCATCTCGACCATGAGTTGACTATACATGTAACCGGACCCTGAGTTAACTTTACATGTACCCGGACCCTGAGTTAACTATACTTGTACCTGATCCAGAGATAACTATACTTGTACCTGGATGATGAGTTAACTTTACGTGTACCTGACCCAGAGATAACTGTACCTGCACCTGGATCATGAGTTAACTATACTTGTACCTGGATGCAGATATAACTGTACTTGCATCTCGACCATGAGTTGACTATACGTGTAACCGGACCCTGAGTTAACTTTACTTGTACCTGGACCCTAAGTTAACTATACGTGTACCTGACCAAGAGATAACTATACTTGTACCTGGATCATGGGTTAACTATACTTGTACCGGAATGTAGACATAACTGTACTTGCATCTGGACCATGAGTTGACTATACATGTAAACGGACCCTGAGTTAACTTTACTTGTACCTGGATCATGAGTTAACTATACTTGTACATGCATGCAGAGATAACTGTACTTGCATCTGGACCATGAGTTGACTATACATATAACCGGACCCTGAGTGAACTTTACTTGAACCTGGACCCTGAGATAACTATACTTGTACCTCGACTCTGCGTCAACTTTACTTGTACATTGACCCTGAAATAACTAGAACACTGACAGGTCAGTAAGGGCCCCGTCTTGTGGCAATATATCCCCCATAATCATCAAGAAGCAATCTGCCCATATAGCTGAGCTTGACGTTTGGCATTTGGACTTCAAAAAGAATCGCAAGGAAGCCAAATATATATTTACATGTACTATGATGTGAGTCTTGTTTCCTTCCACCTCCATATTTGCTGGGCTAACAGAAATGTAAATACGGGTGTAATACTCATTTGTTAGCTTTGATTTGCTTTATTTCACCTTATATACCTCCTCCTTCAAGAGCCATGGTCAAAGTCAGAGATCCAATTTGTCTTTGACCTTTAGACCCAAATGACCTGGACCATTAACCCAGTGACCCTAATCTTTGGTCAGTTTACTTATTCTTTAATTCAGACCAACTTTACTTCTTAATGTCATAACAAAATGTTCATCAGTGAAAAATACAAACCTTGACCCTTTTGACCTCTTGACCTGGACCTAAGGTCAGTTGACTCTGTAATAAGTTTTGAACAACATTGCTTCATAATGTCATAACAAAATGTTCATCAGGGAAAAGGTACAAAATGTAACCTTCACCTTTGACCCAGTGATGTTGACCTTTGGTCAGTCGACTCCTTGTTTAATTCTGATCAACTTTGCTTCATCATGTCATAACAAAATGTTCATCAGTGAAAATATGCAAAATTTCACCTTGACCTTTAACCCAATGACCTTGACCTTTTGTCAGTCAACTCCTTGTTTAATTCTGATCAACTTTGCTTCATCATGTCATAACAAAATGTTCATCAGTGAAAAGATGCAACATTTGACCTTGACCTTTGAACCCAATGACATTGACCTTTGACCTTGACTGTTTACCTCAATGTGTATTTTTGTAAACTGAACATCTTGAGCAAGTTTCATGTACATCGGTCAATAGATACCAAAGTTATCAGCCAGGTACAAAATGTGTGGACAGACAGACAGACAGACAGACAGACAGGCAGACAGACAGACAGACAGACAGACAGACATACAGACAGACAGATTGATTACTATAGGGCACCCGTATCTCTATAACGGGGCCCTAATTATACTTGTACCTGAACCCTGACTTAACTATACATGCACCTGTACTCTGAGTTAACTATACATGCACCTGTACCCTGAGTTAACTATACATGCAAATGGACCTTGAGTTAACTATACTCGTACCTAGACCCTGACTTAGATAACCATAACCCGGACCCTGAGTTAACTTCACTTGTACCCGGACCTTGTGTCAACTATACTTGTACCTGGAACCGGAGTTAATTATATTGTGCCTGGACCCTGAGCTAGCTATACATGAATATGTTTATTTTTGTAAGTTAAAAGCTACCTTATAACACACGTCATGCAATTTTAATTTCTTGAATGAACATATAGAATATTTCTACTTTTTCTGTTTCATGTCATTGTTTAACGAAAGCAATAAATGTTACTGTACAAATTGAATGTATAATCTATATCCAACTAATTGCTGTTTTTTTGTTGGTTTTTTTTTCGTTTCGGTCTTTTACCCCCTTGAAAAGTTCACCATGCATGCAAGTGTTTGAATTAATTGCCAATTGTATGATACCGTTGACGTGTTGATTACTGATGGTAATAGTGTTGCATGGTATCACAATATATCTTTTCAGATGACTGTTCAACCATGAAGAATCCATGACTCGGAGCACGAGTGCGTTATTTGTGGGTGTCCGCTTCGATGGAGTCTTCGCTACACGATATCACCATAAGTGACATGACAACAGTCATCATATTTCGGACAGAAGAACAATGGAATCGAAAAAGAACAGAAGATAGGCTCAAGACTCACGGAGAGTGGACGAAGTGCAAACCTATAAAGGGGGTGGGGGCGAGGAGGGCAATAATTATATTATGTGGTGTCAATATTTTATTAGTCCTATGAAGCTCAATGCATTAGAACTCACCAGTTAGAAACTGGGAGCGACTCACCACGTTATATACTGGGAACGACTCACCAGTTAGAAACTGGGAGCGACTCACCAGGTAGAAACCGGGAGCGACTCAGCACGTTATAAACTGGGAGCGACTCACCAGTTAGAAACTGGGAGCGACTCACCACGTTATAAACTGGGAGCTACTCACCAGTTAGAAACTATGAGCGTCTCACCAGTTAGAAACTGGGAGCGACTCAATACGTTATACTCCCGCTTCATTGTTCTACCTATCCCCACTATGTTTGCAGGAGGTTTAATACTACAATAACAAATCCCTTCCTTCATCACATCTACAAATGATGTTCCGTCCTGGACCAAGTAACAAACGCTTAATGAGGAGTTGAGCGTACAAAGTTTATAAGGCAGAAATTAAGTCTAGTGGGTCATAACTCTAGGAAAATTATTCAATCTCATATTGCTCTTCATCTAAATCTAAATATGATGTACTTTCACAGTGGCCAAGATACCAAAATCTTCAACAAACAGTAAAGGAGGAGTTGTGCTTACATGGTTTCTGGAGACGAATTTCAATGGCCACAACTCCCTAAAATAGTCGATAGCAAATGCCTTTCTTCGTGATTTTCCAAAATGTACTGTTATTGTGTCACGTTACAAAAAAATATAACAAACAGTTTCGATGGAGTTTCGTTTACGATGTTCAATGACGGACGGACAGACATGGTGATTCCTATATACCCTCGCACTTCGTTTGTGGAGGGTATAACTAAATGAAGAACTACATTAAAAACGTATATCAGGAACTATCCAAGTTTCTTCTTTCACTGTTTTTGACACCTCGTAATTCATTGAAACCAAAGGAGGTACAAAGACGAAAATTCGTAAAACACGACACTTACAAGACAGAAGATTTTATTAAAGACTTAATTACATGTGTAAAAATATGAGAAAAAAAATCTTCTTTCCAAAATCAACTTTAGTCACATCTGGCTAGCGAGACAAGAAATACATTCTTCACATAAATATAGGATCTTCAATGGATTTTCATTTCATATGAGATTTTATGAAACGATTCTTAGGAGTTTTTATTTTTGCGAGCCTTGGCGAGCAAAACTTAAAACTTCGAGACGAGTTTCATAAAAGCTCATATGAAATGAAAACAAATTTAAGATATTTTTTATCACATAATCAGAAAACTTACATTTTGACAGGTTTTAAAGCCGAAATGAAAACGGCTTCATCAAACGGAGACAGCTATCTTGATGCGCCATTCACAATTGATGACGTCACGTCATTGTCCATATTATGACGTCACAATCGATCTCCGACTGGCACAGCCAATGAAAAACGCTCCTGGGTATATTACACTAGTGACATATGTAAAAATATTGCACGGGCGAATTCACTGGATAACAGGTTGATTATGTGATAAAGTGTTATCTGTGAATGTACGGCATAATAGTGACATGGCTTTTCAAAATATAAATAAAAGAAAATATCCAATGATATTCCTTTGTCTTTCCGAGTCTTTTTTTCTGATAATAATATTATAAAAAAAATCGCTTTAAACGTTACACAACGAACGTCTTCCTGATTTTCTGAAACGGTAGTGTTTAAGCATTCATAGAAATTCTTGAAAATTATAAACTACCCTTAGTTATATAAAAATGTCAGGTGTGAGAGTTTGTACAACACTATATTTGCATATACCATAATGGTGAGTGCCATGAATAGTTTCGCCTATTTTCATTTTGCCTGTGTACATATGGAAAATAATAAGTAATTCAGGACTGTGCTAAATGTTCAATATCCCTTAAAAATAGAGTAAACTATGATATGAAAATATTCTTGAATGTAATTCCTAATGGATTCGCCGTGAAATTGGAACAGAAATTGAAAATTTGTCATCTTTAAACATACTTCAACGTGTTTATTTTAGATCATTTCGTGGTACAAACTTCTCGTGGTTTTAAGCTATTTAGATCATTTTGTGGTGCAAACTTTCGTGGCTTGAAGCCATCTAGATCATTTTGTGGTACAAACTTTCGTGGTTTGAAGCCATTTAGATCATTTTGTGGTACACACTTTCGTGGTTTGAAGCCATTTAGATTGTTTCGTGGTACAAACTTTCGTGGATATCAAATACGAACAAAGAAATTCAAATACATAAACTTAATTGTTGTTTTTATCTTTTATAACAACCATCAAAACCACGAATATTTATACAGCGAACGTTCCATGTTACACAGTATAGCGCTTTAGTAAGACTAATCCCACTCCTTAATGCTTGTGTTCAAAATGTATGTGTATTATCCCTTTAATCCTCAACAGATTTTTTCCTTGAAATTAGACATGAAGTTATAGATGTTGTTTGATTATCGGTAAAAAGGTGTGCGCTTAACACGATAAAAGTTAAAAACATTCATACGCCGAACTGCAAGTTGAGATGTCCAAAATCTTCCCTATTTCTGACCAGTCAAACACTTCCTAGTTGACCTTTTAGGATTCCTCCGAGACCGAGTGTTTTTGCGGTATATCTGAGTGATTGGTCCTGCTTTTCTTCTTGCAGCAATGAGTTACCCAAAGAACAAGAAGCTCAACCACCTCGGCAAGACTCAGTACAGACAGACCTGCCCACAAGCCAAGCTGCCCTCCAATGTCGCTGACGAAGTTCTCTGACTAATAGACAAGAATAGGATATACATTAGATCATTTGTAATTGATATATGTGTAATGATAATCAAAATTAATTCCTTATTAACCAATATTAATGTTACCACATCTGGTTAGCAATAAAAGAACATCTATTCTCTATATCAAGTGCTATCTGTGAATGTACGGCATTGCAATGACTATGCGACTACCACTGCTTACTACGACTACTACTACTTCTACTGTTACTACTACTGTCACATACATACTAACATGTGTACTACATTGACACATGAAAAAAACATTTAAGCATTACAACATAAGCAATGTTCAGCCCTTATTTTATAGGCACTGCGCTTATTGATTTTGAATGTTCGCTAGTTTATCAGTCAATGTTTACTTTTATATTAATAGAATGTGTTGATGATAATTACGGACAGGTTTAATTTTAGCCATCATGATTTGATTGAGACATACTCTATAACCTTTTGCGATATGAAGGTTGATATTTTTGATAACATGATAATAGAATATATTGTATAAGATGAATTTGGTGCTAATAATTCTGTAACATTTATATTATTAATAAAAAAAAACCATCAAAAGATTATTTAAGTGTTAACAAAACTGTAATTTGAACTACAAATCCATTAAACTAGGGCAAATTGTACTATGACAGATTTAAATGGAGACTTTAGAAAAAAGTACTCGGAGAAGAAGACCGAGTACTCAGGAAGGGTAGCGACCTCTGGTTCATCGACGACACAGCCCGCCACGTAAACTTAGGTCAAGTCAAAGTAATAGCACGTCTTAGAAATAAGAACCGGGGAAGTTACATCGAAACAAAGTGCAGTACGTAGCACAATCAATATTAATAACATAGAGCCATAAAATCATCGAAAGCCTTACCGTGTAAGAAAGTTCTTCCTTGATAATTTCTTTGGTCATTGTTGAGAAATACACCCGAAGCCGCATGAAATCCGCTCTGTAAATATAAATTAAACAATCCGATTGAAAATTTACTGATTTGCACCGCACGTGGTATTTTGGAAATGTTTATTTACAGCGTAATTATCAACTAGTTAATCTCTGTGTTAGTTATTTAATTTCTGGTTCCAATATTACCTGATTTTATCAACTTTGTCCCCCCAGTTGTAGTCCACTGCCAGGATTTCCCTGTAAGCATTAGATGGCCATCTCGACATCGAAACGGGTGTTTTGTAGGATTTCTCGCTGAAATACAAATATCTTATATACCATATGTGAAATCAACAGGGTATGTTGAGAAAAGAATGAACTGGATTAATTAAAGGGAGATGGTTTATCAGCTTATGAGTGCATATGTACATTCTGATAAATAACGGGTTTTATTTACCTAGCATAAGAAGTATCTGTCTTTATATATATTTGATAATGCTATCATAATTAACAAACCATTTGGTGAAATACGTTGATTATCACGTATAAGATTGTTTTCAATCAAACTGTGGTGGACAATAAAATTGGGCGTCATTTCAAGTTTTGAACACTTTTCAGTTATAATTTACCAGTTTCTTTTATGGAGTACATTATGTTCATGTTGCTCATGTGATACAGAGTATATCGTCATATTAACTTTTCAATTATATGACGGATACAATATTTATGCTACAAAACACACGATTTATATATTAATATACATGTATAAAGCTAAGCAAGTGTGCTAGATGGATATACAAGTATAGTAAATAATTGAGTATGCTACAAAACACAGTATGGGAATATTATTTAAATCGATAACTTACAAACACGGAAACTTGCAGGCTGCACAGGTTTCACTCTTCAGCATCGAGCCCGTCTCATCTTTTAAGCATTTCATATCTAAGCGTTAAACGTATAGGTTCATGAGTGATGTTGTATAATGCCACATTTCATTTATTATGATAACAGTTAGTTTCGGCAAGCAAGATTTTATGAAGTTAATTTAATATCACACAATAATGCTGGTGACATTTGTATTTGCATATGATGACATGGCATATTTCAGTTTTGCAAACAACAACTTCTACCTACTACAACTACTACTACTACTACTTCTACTACTACTACTACTACTACTACTACTACTACTACTACTACTACTACTACTACTACTACTGTATTACTTACCTTCCACTGTAATACACGTGTCTTCGATGTCCACGCTGTAGCCATGGTATGGTGCACACCGACAGTATTTTGTTGCGTGTGCAATGGAACAGTTCATCAAACAAGCCTATTAGAATACAAAATAGACGATGGATTTGGCACGAATCTACCGCGAACATGTATTTTAATTTTAATGTCTGCGTTTAATTTCTCTTCAAACTATTCATTTTGAAATAACGACTGACTGTCTGCACTTTTGGACCTCTATCAAGACTACATATTATCTGGAACTTTATGTTATCAATACTATCTACATTCAACACTTGATTCCTCGGGTGTAAAAACGAAAAATAAACTTGTTTATTGATGTTACCATATCTTACTACATTGTTGACTTGTGTGCCTCAATATTTACGATTGAAGCAATGCACCACTCCCGCAACCATAGTATAAATACGTATAATGTAAACCACACATCATAATCACACACACGATAATAAACAAATAAATCAATAAAATAAAAATAATTTACAAAATAATTAATATTATTTGTAGTAAGGTAGTGACTTACCAATTTTCTTTGCCAGATACTGTTTTCCTCACAGCGCTGATCTGGCCCCGCCTCTCTGTATGTCTCAGACTATAGATTTACATAGAAGTTTGTTATGTTATCATTGTTTGTATGTAAGTACAACATAAAGATAAGGGGCATACATTCTTATTAATCATAAATGATGTTTTTTTAGTGTTTCTTTTCATTCACTGGTAGATGATTTGAGTGTCATAGCGTAGAAATAGCGGAGTAAGATTCTTACATGCTTGCCATTGGTTTGAGTTTCTGGCTGTCGAGATCTCCTTTGTCGTTACCATAAAACAGGAAAAGTGAGTTTTCTTTTCATTTTAATGCGCATATTGATCATGTTCATGACGAAATTGGACGTATGTATACTGCGTCTGTCTTCCACACTTTGTATATATATATTAAAACGCCGCAATATTTAGTTCTAATAAACAGCGAATTTCTACTAATTCATTAATGTAGTATTTAAAATAATTAATATTAACTGATTTGAGTTTAATCTTATCGTAGTAAGATATAGATAAGGACCCAATCATTTTCCATCTGGATCACGTTATGATTGAAATGTATTGTTTCCCGTTCATCGCGTGGCACTTGTCCTCCTCGAGGAGTTTGGTTTGGTTGGTTCATTCAGTTTAATGTCTTATTCACAACTTAGGTAATCTAAGTACTCCCGTCCATGAATGTAATATATATGTGTATGCTGGAGTCGGTATTTTGTAATAACCTCCCTGCGAAAGCACGGATCTGATGGAAACCAGTCCTTATCGCTCTCAACTGAAAGCTGAACGTCAACCACAGAGACAGAAGATTGAGATTTGTCATTTGTGTGTGCCCAAGTAGAGGCAAGAATCAAATTCCAAATTATGCAGGTGTTCACACATTAGTCGCCTGATACTAATGTCTTTTCTAAATCCCTGCCCTGCAGAGTTGTCCTCGAAATATATTCTATTAATGGTACTTATAGTGGACACCAAACACACTAAACTTAATCAGCTTTCCCAATTGCAACCTTCATGTTTTTCTTCTTCATTTTCTATTTTGATGATTTCGCCTTCTTTGTCTTTGATTAGGCCGTGGTCATAATATGACAGTGTATAGGGTAAATATTTCTGTATTAACATTTAGCGTATGACATGGTTCGAAGCCTGATAAAATAGCAATCCAGTAGTCGCATTAAAAACGTATACTGACGTTATGTGATATTACATCTGGTAAAGTCGTAAACAACCAGACGAACATTGTTTACGTAACGTGTCATTACAGATGACTAATATGTCCAAATTTATACTTTGAAGTATGAAATATGTACTTGTTTGTCTTTCATATTTATCACTTCGCTAATTTGGTATCCATAATCGCTAAGGAGATTTTAGAAATCGAAACAAACATATTGATTAACTATTTATTATCATTTACTATCATTTATAAATTATCATTATTTTTATTTATTATTGACACCTACCACCGAAACGCCTATGTCGATTTCGAAACCGGTGGGAAGATTGAAGCCGTTTCCAGAGAATATGTCAGCGCCGTCATCCTGTATAATCACTCGCACTCCAGCAGATTCAGTCACCAAAGGAATGAATTCCGATTGTCCAACAGATATGATCAGTTCAAGTCCTGTTAAATGAGGCAGAACAAAGTCACAGCATAGAGTAGCACGATTGATGAATGATGAGAGCTTAGGATGACATGGAATTCGGTAATTTTCATAGCAAGTATTAAATATAGCATTCGTCAGGTATTTATAACTGACTTTCTCAGTAATTTGTAAATAGTGTTTTGCAATTATCTTTATATAACGGGTTTTAGTTGTTTCGAATTTGATGATACTTTCCGATATCTTTTAACCATATTTCACCACTTGAACGTCACGATTCGGTAGCAAATTGAGAAAAGATCGTCACAATACAGATGTCCTCGTACTATCAAACACTTTTTGATAATAATTTTCGATTATTTCAATACAACATAGATCAAATATGTACGTTACTTATTACTTTCTAAATAAATAACTACTGTTTTGAGGAGTGCATGTTGTTTTATGGTTTTTAGTTGGAACAATTGTTTTTATATCATGACTCAACAGCACGTGTTTCTAAACATTTGATTTGGACACTAAACATTTGATTTGAACACTTAACATTTGATTTGGACACTAAACATTTGATTTGAACACTTAACATTTGATTTGGACACTAAACATTTGATATGAACACTAAACATTTGATTTGAACACTAAACATTTTATTTGGACACTAAACATTTGATTTGGACACTAAACATTTGATTTGAACACTAAAATTTTTATTTGAATACTAAACATTTTATTTTGACACTAAACATTTCATTTGGACACTAATTATTTGATATGGACACTAAACATTTGATTTGAACACTAAACATTTGACTTGAACACTAAACATTTGATTTGGACACTGAACATTTGATTTGGACACTAAACATTTGACTTGAACACTAAACATTTTATTTGAACACTAAACATTACTAACGGTATACATGTATTTACCGTCATCAGGGCCAGCAGTTTCTGTATAGAACAAATCATTGTTCATTTTGTAACATATGCGATGGCCTTCGCGAACAACGGTGAAATTCCTGCAAATGAAGCATCATAAAAACATAAGTTTATCGAAATATGATTTTTAAATCGCAACATTTTCCTTTTTATGTTTCATTCACATAATTGTGTGTATTTTAGTTTATTGTACAAAGGAAAATGTTACCGTAGTTTTAACGTTTAAAATACTGCACACTGTAAAATGTAACCGTAGCTTCAACGTTTAAAATACTGTACACGGAAAATGTAACCGTAGTTTTAACGTTTAAGATACTGTACACGGAAAATGTTACCGTAGTTTCAACGTTTAAAATACTGTACACCGGAAAATGTTACCGTAGTTTCAACATTTAAAATACTGTACACAGGAAAATGTTACCGTCGTTTTTATCTTTAAAATACTTTACACAGGAAAATGTTACCTAGTCTTAACGTTTAAAATACTGTAAACAGGAAAATGTTACCGTAGTTTTAACGTTTAAAATACTTCACACAGGAAATTGTTACCGTAGTTTTAACGTTAGAAATACTTCACACAGGAAATTGTTACCTAGTTTTAACGTTTACAATACTGTTCACATGAAAATGTTACCGTAGATTTATAAAAAAAAAAGAAATAGAAATAAATATACAACATTTGATATAGCGCCCCATCTAGCTAAAATACGCCACTCTTAAGCGTTTTACAGTAAATAGATATACAATTGTATACAGTCAATAAAATTAGCATATATCTAAATCAATACAATTATGAGGAATTCGCAGGAGCTGCCTTATCAGGCGTTAACTACTTGTCCTATACCACCTGGATAATATCTCCTGTTTCAAACGTTTCAAAAAATTTACACTGGATTTTTTTTACCGTAGTTTTACGCTTAAAATACCATACACAGTAAACTGTATACCATAGCTAACACTTATCTCCATAGGCAATGAAGACAATCTTCCCAAGACGCAAATGCTTGTTTATTGAGTGAAGGCTCCTATCATCAGCTAATGCTTGTTTATTGAGTTAAGGCTCCTATCATCAGCTAATGTTTGATTATTGAGTTAAGGCTCCTATCATCAGCTAATGTTTGATTATTGGGTTAAGGCCCCTATCATCAGCTAATGTTTGATTATTGGGTGAAGGCTCCTATCATCAGCTAATGTTTAATTATTGAGTTAAGGCTTCTATCATCAACTAATGTTTGATTATTGGGTTAAGGCTCCTATCATCAGCTAATGTTTGATTATTGAGTTAAGGCTCCTATCATCAGCTAGTGTTTGATTATTGAGTTAACGCTCCTATCATCAGCTTATGCTTGTTTATTGGGTTAAGGCTCCTATCATCAGCTAATGTTTGTTTATTGTGTTCAGGCCCCTATCATCAGTTAATGCTTCTTTATTGTGCTAAGGCCCCTATCATCAGCTAATGTTTGATTATTGGGTTAAGGCTCCTATCATCAGTTAATGCTTGTTTATTGGGTTAAGGCTCCTATCATCAGCTAATGTTTGATTATTGGGTTAAGGCCCCTATCATCAGCTAATGCTTGATTATTGAGTTAAGGCCCCTATCATCAGCTAATGTCTGATTATTGAGTTAAGGCTCCTATCATCAGCTAATGTTTGATTATTGAGTTAAGCCTCCTATCATCAGCTAATGCTTGTTTATTGAGTTAAGCCTCCCATCATCAGCTAATGTTTGATTATTGAGTTAAGTCCCCTATCCTCAGCTAATGCTTGTTTATTGTATTAAGGCTCCTATAATCACCTAATGTTTGATTATTGGCTTAATTGCCCTATCAGCAGCTAATGTTTGATTATTGGGTGAAGACTCCTATCATCACCTAATGTTTGATTATTGAGTTAATCTTCCTATCATCAGCTAATGTTTGTTTATTGTGTTCAGGCCCCTATCATCAGTTAATGCTTCTTTATTGTGCTAAGGCCCCTATCATCAGCTAATGTCTGATTATTGAGTTAAGGCTCCCATCATCAGCTAATGTTTGATTATTGTATTAAGGCTCCTATCATCAGCTAATGCTTATTTATTGAGTTAAGCCTCCCATCATCAGCTAGTGTTTGATTATTGAGTTAAGCCTCCTATCATATGAACAAACAACATTTCTTTGGTACGTAGGTATATGCTATTGGCTGCATTCAAGACTTTGGATAGTCAAAACGCTATGTATAATACCCTTTTTGGTTTTGACCTATTTCGCCTCCAAATCTCATAGAAACAATTGCTTTTATGTAAAACATATTTTGTATGCCTGCTAACTTCCTGTATCCTGTTGGATGAGTTAAGCTTCCTATCATCAGCTAATGTTTGCTTATTGTGTTAACCCTCCTATCATCAGCTAATGTGTGATGATTGTGTTAAGGCTCCTATTATCAGCTAATGTTTGATTATTGCGTTAAGGCTCCTATCATCAGCTAATGCTTATTTATTGAGTTAAGCCTCCCATCATCAGCTAATGTTTGATTCTTGAGTTAAGTTTCCTATCATTAGCTAATGTTTGTTTATTGAGTTAAGCCTCCTATCATCAGCTAATGCTTATTTATTGAGTTAAGCCTCCCATCATCAGCTAATGTTTGATTAGTGAGTTAAGCCTCCTATCATCAGCTGATGCTTGTTTATTGAGTTAAGCCTCCTATCATATGAACAAACAACATTTCTTTGGTACTTAGGTTTATGCTATTGGCTGCCCCTATCATCAGTTAATGCTTCTTTATTGTGCTAAGGCCCCTATCATCAGCTAATGCTTGTTTATTTTGTTAAGTTTCCTATCATCAGCTAATCTTTGATTATTGAGTTAAGTTTCCTATCCTCAGCTAATGCTTGTTTATTGAGTTAAGACTCCCATCATCAGCTAATGTTTGATTCTTGAGTTAAGTTTCCTATCATCAGCTAATCTTTGATTATTGAGTTAAGTTTCCTATAATCAGCTAATGTTTGATTATTGTGTTAACCCTCCTATCATCAGCTAATGTTTGATGATTGTGTTAAGGCTCCTATTATCAGCTAATGTTTGATTATTATGTTAACCCTCCTATCATCAGCGAATGTTTGATGATTGTTTTAAGGCTCCTATCATCAGCTAATGTTTGACTATTGAGTTAAGCCTCCTATCATCAGCTAATGTTTGATTATTGAGTTAAGCCTCCTATCATATGAACAAACAACATTTCTTTGGTACGTAGGTTTATGCTATTGGCTGCATTCAAGACTTTGGATAGTCAAAACGCTATGTATAATACACTTTTTGGTTTTGACCTATTTCGCCTCCAAATCTCATAGAAACAATTGCTTTTATGTAAAACATATTTTGTATGCCTGCTAACTTCCTGTATCCTGTTGGATAATCTTTTCCCGTTATATACTTCTAAATTTTAGATATTCTTTCAGCATTCTAAAGGGAAAATGATCAAATTACATACTGCTCGTAACATTTGTTTCCTCTATAATTGCAGTCCAATATGAACAACTCGAACTCGCCGTTAAGGGCAGTTAGATTTTCAATGGGCATGTTCGCCAAACGAGCTTCAAACAGCTTCTTCGCCATGCCAAGGGGATGGTCGTACTGATCTGAAATGGTCGAAAGACACAACAGTAAGACACACGTGTGTTCGAAAAAGGTCTACGATAGACGTGTGTACAACGGTCAAACAAACGGGCGGTCGTACTGATCAGTCCTACACACGTAAAATAGACAAAGGACACAGAGGTAATACAGACAAGTAGTTTTACTCATATATGATGGACAAAGGACACAGAGGTAATACAGACGAGGAGATTTACTCAAATATAATAGACAAAGGACACAGAGGTAATACAGACGAGTAGTTTTACTCATATATGATGGACAAAGGACACAGAGGTAATACAGACGAGGAGATTTACTCAAATATAATAGACAAAGGACACAGAGGTAATACAGACGAGTAGTTTTACTCATATATGATGGACAAAGGACACAGAGGTAATACAGACGAGGAGATTTACTCAAATATAATAGACAAAGGACACAGAGGTAATACAGACGAGTAGTTTTACTCATATATGATGGACAAAGGACACAGAGGTAATACAGACGAGGAGATTTACTCAAATATAATAGACAAAGGACACAGAGGTAATACAGACGAGTAGTTTTACTCATATATGATGGACAAAGGACACAGAGGTAATACAGACGAGGAGATTTACTCAAATATAATAGACAAAGGACAGAGGTAATACAGACGAGGAGATTTACTCAAATATAATAGCCAAAGGACACAGAGGTAATACAGACGAGGAGATTTACTCAAATATAATAGCCAAAGGACACAGAGGTAATACAGACGAGGAGTTTTACTCATATATGATGGACAAAGGACACAGAGGTAATACAGACGAGGAGATTTACTCAAATATAATAGACAAAGGACAGAGGTAATACAGACGAGGAGATTTACTCAAATATAATAGCCAAAGGACACAGAGGTAATACAGACGAGGAGATTTACTCAAATATAATAGCCAAAGGACACAGAGGTAATACAGACGAGGAGATTTACTCAAATATAATAGACAAGGAAACAAAGGTAACACAGACGAGTAGTTTTACCCATATATGATGGACGAAGATCAGAGGTATTACATATCACTAGTCTTACACATAGATGATGGACGAAGAATATAGAGGTAATACAAACGGCCTACGCCGGTGATTTTTTATACAATTACGTTATGTGGTTTACAAAATGATCCGACTAGCTCGAGGTTTTTAGTAATAGGAAAGCAATGCCCTAATGATATATTAAACAGAGAAATTGTTACAATTGGTGTTTTTTTGGTGTTTTTTTTTTTGCAAGTCATTAATGCCCCCTGTTCATACCCTGCTGCTGTTGAATGAAGTAGTTAAAAGTATAGAACCATTTAGCATCAATATATATCATTGGTAGGAGTGATAAAAAGTAAGGGATACAACAACATCAAAATATAAAAAATGAAATGAGGCAATTCAGCAAGAAGATTTTGAAATTGTAGTGTATGTGTAAGATGTATTGCCAGTGTTCTATATGTAAATCTTTTATCCCATCGAGTTTCAGACAAAAAGTCTCTAACGGCCTCTATCGTTCACATATCATCGACTCGAGAAGAATCCAGATTCAACCACAGAACACTAAGCATTCAAACTTAACACATTTATGTTTTACCAATGCGCTCATCAGTAAAAACAGCACACAAAGCTTAATCCTTTAGGTGTATAGTATAAACATCAATGTATATATAGCAATCAGTAGAATCACATAATGGTTTCAGGACAGTATTTTATCAGTTATGACTATATATAACAAAATTTATAGATTGTTTTGATTAATTAAACAAGTCTTCTTGTGTTGTATATATATTTAAGAACACTATCAAGTAAGGATTTAATTTCAGTATTGTTTAAAATAGTACTTCCATTAAGAAGTATTTTAGTATCAAGATTAACCGGACACACTTCAAAAATCTCATTTATTAAAGTTTGTCTCTCATCAGTATACACTGGACATTGTAAAAGATAATGGGTAGCAGTTTCATAAGCATCACCACACAGACAAGATGAAGACTCTTTCAAGGGATCATTGAACAGATCATAGTTCAGGTTGCTCGCCTCATTTCTCAGTTGACATAAGATTATGTTACCCTTTCTGCTTTCACAATTTTTAAATACATCAGATATATCATTATTTAAACATATGTCGTTATTTACCTTGGCCTTAAATTTATTAAGAGTAAGGGAAGGACTGTATCATTTTCAAGTCCATTGAACTTGTTGCACATTACTGGGAAGAAACTTTTTGCATAGGATTCTGTACGACATAGTGGTGGGTTAAACATTCTTACATTTCTTAGAGTATACCTATCATTTTCAGGGTTATGAATAAGAGGATCAATTTTGTCATGGAGGTATGTGGGTGATAAATTGTTAGTTATTTTATACATCTGAATTAGCTTATGGTTCATCCTTCGATCAGACAGAGATTTCCAGCCTAGTTCTTTATGTAGAGTTTGGTGTTATGTACATTCCTTAGGCCTGTGATAATCCTTGCAGCTTCTGGTTGTATAAATTTTAAAAAAATTTAAGATTGTCAGAGATGTTGTCCCAGACAATATCTGCATATTTAAGCATTGGACGGATAAATGTTGTATATATTTTGCATAGTGATATCCTATAAATCTTATATTTCAGATACCTAAGCATATTTATTCTTTTACTAGCCTTTTCAAATACTAATTGAACATGGGTAGACCAAGTGCCATCTTCAGAAAAAGTTAATCCAAGATGTTTGTTAGCATGGGCATTATCTACACAAGTATTAGAGAAATTAATTAGAGGATGGATGGGTTCTTTTTTTTCTAGAAAAAATAGTGATTTGGTTTTAGAGGGGTTAAATTTAATTTCCCATGGACTAGCCTAGTTGTTAATGTTATCTAGGCCTTGGTTAAGCTAATCTGCTGCTAGTTGTGGATTTTCGTCTACGTTGACATTTAATGATGTATCGTCTGCAAACAGCTTAATGTTACTCTGGACTATATCAGTGAAATGTCATTAAGGTATAATAGAAATAAAAAGGACCGAGAACTGATCCATGAGGAACACCGGCATTAACCACCCTAAAAGTAGAAAAATGACCTTCAGTTAGAACTCTCTGCTTTCTATCTTCAAGATAATTCTCAAACCATTTAAAAATATTGCCTGATTACCATATGCTTTTAGTTTATGTAGTAACCCTTTGTGCTATACTCTATCAAAAGCCTTGTTGATGTCGCAAAATACAAACCTTAATTCTTTCCCTTTATCCAGATTGCTAATTATAGTGTGGTATATAGAGATAAGTTGGTTTACTGTTGAATCACCTGGTTTAAAGCCTAAAGATTTTATCAAAACATGATGTTACAGATATTGGTCGATAATTGGAATATTTTTTTTAAACCATTCCCTTTGTATACAGCACTAACATTAGCCATCTGCCATGACCCAGGTATGCACCCGTAAGATATAGTTTTGTTAAATAAAATTGTAAGTGGGAGTATTAAGGAAGGTTTTAACTTTTTTATGACTTTAGGTAACATGCCATCAGGTCCTGCTGGTTTATTTTCATTTAATATAGTAATTTGATCATCAACATCTTGCTCAGAGACTATTATGTTTTCTAACTTTGATAGAGTGGAGATATCTAATTCTGGAGGTTCAGCAAGAGTATCTGATGTTGTGGCTATAGAAGTAAACTATTCATTAAGGGCTTCAGCTTTATCAGTTGGATGTTGAATCAGTGTATTGTTAACATTCAATGGTGGAATTGGTTCAGTTTTATTGTTAGAATTAGTTATGGATTTAGCAATTTTCCACCATTTATTAGGGGGCAATGATTTATCACTGAGGGACTTTTGAAGTTTATCAAGATAATTATGTTTTGTGTCTCTTACCAGATTAATAACATCATTCCTTATTTGTTTCTATTTATTCCAATGCTCTATTTTGTCATTATGTCTGGCTTTCTGTATCCTATTTCTTTGCCTCATCTTTAGCCTAATATTGGTATTTATCCATGGCTTGTCCTCAGGTCCGATTGTAATAGTTTTACTAGGAATGTATTTTGTCATCAGGTCAGTTATAGATTTAGTTAAAAATATACTAAATTCATGGGTATCCATATCAGCAGCAATTAAGTTCCAGTCAATAGCACTTAGTTAGTCATTCATAATATTATAGTCAGTATTGTTTTACATCCATATAGTCTTTTTTATATGCTTTATGTTTGAAGATAGCATAACAAACTTCCATATATATATAGGGGAGCGGTCATTACAGAAAGCAGAGTCAACATGTGTTTTTTCAGTATGGAAGGATTATTTGTAAAGACAACATCTATAGAGGTTGCACTATGAGGTGTCACTCTAATAGATTTATTAGTAATACTTTTTAGGTTGAATTTAGTTAAGAGTCTAGATAAGTGAGAAGTGGGTGGGGGTCTTAGCATATCAACATTTAAGTCACCAGTAATTAGTAGATCCATGGAAGTTTCACAAGCTTTATCAAGGATTTGTTCAAATTTACTCCAGTATTCTATATTAGAATCAGGTCTTTATATACATCCAAGCAAAAATTTATGGTTTTTAATTAAAACTTCTATCCAAATCATTTCTATAGGTTCATTTTCAAGATCATGTCTACGTTAAGTAAGAATAATGTTTTTATGATAGATAATTACACCACCACCATGCCCTGTTGTCCTATCTTTCCTATGGATTTCATCTAATTTAATATCAGAATTTGGGATTAGAGGGTTAAGGTTTGTGCCATTCTCGATATCCAGGGATTACGCTCTCTTCCCTCTCTACACCCCTGGAATATGTCATAGCAAAATTGAAGGCACGAACATAGCTGCTTGATTGGTCTCAGGTAAAAACAACTAACCAATCGCTAGGCTGATACCTGTCCTTTGAAGATGACAAAGGAGAGACGCCCGACTTCAAAGCCTGTCAATTTTTACCGTTCCATGACCGCGATATTCTTTTGATGTACATAAAAGGATCGAACTAGTCGTCTTGTCTTATCAACAAGGTGGCGCACACTAAGCCTTCAATTTTGCTATGACATATTCCAGGGGTGTAGAGAGGAAAGTGAGCGTAACCCCTGGATACCGAGGATGGGTTTTGCTCGCTCAGATTATTTTGAAGTTTGCTCCCGCTTCGACTTGCTCGAGATTTGTATTCACTTCGACTATCTCAAGGTTTGTTCTTACTTCGACGATCTTGAAGTTTGAGCTCGCTTCGACTACTTCGAGTTTGTACCTGCCTGACTATCTGGAGGCTTATATATAATTAACGTTCGAATATAAGGTGGGTTTTTTAATACAATCTCTTATATTTGGAATCAATTTTCCCAAGTATGTTTGATTCTACATTATTTTATTTAACAAAATTTAAATACCATTTTCCCTTACGATCAGAACACATATTATTAGAGAAGCTTACTGAGGTTGAAGTTTTCGTCTGCTGTATATGTGAAGTTCGGCAGCTGAAAATAGAATTCAAGCACATCATTAAACTGGTTTCTATATGAATAATAACATAAATTTGAAAAATCTTTTATATAAATGTAGTACCATTTTTGCACCTTATAATACATCTTCGATCATATTTGCATGCATGTGTATCTTAATATGATGCTGTAACCCAATGATCGAAACGGAAAAGTATAAAGAATCTTATATGAATTCATAATTTAAGAAGTTAAAAACACAATATTACAAATAACATATATCTACACGAAACAACTCTATATACTAACCGGAAAAGTCAGTCCACTTAAGTTTTTAAATCTTTCTAATGGTATACCACCGTGATCGGAAGATTCATGCAGGATGTGGTGAAATTCCCGGATCCCAACAATTTTGGAAAATTGTGCAGGGTTGAGGTTACATATGGAGACAGACGGGAAATCCTGAGGTTCATATTTAAGTGAAATGGTGGTGCTGATCGGGTTACTACAACAATCGATCCATACAATAGTGTAAGAATAAGATCAATATATGATGTAGCTTTGGTATTCTATCAAAAATGCTTCAATATAATATTTTAATATACATAAATATTACGGCATTAACATGATCTGATTCTCAACAATTTCTTAGAATATTCGAAAACAATAAATAACGTTAATATGGTATATACTGTTGCCATGTCACTCATTAATAGTTAACAAATTACCTTTGTAATAATGTGTTTGAAATCTGGTCATTTTGATTGATACGTATGGTACAAGATTTGTTTTTCTTTCTTTTCCTTTCTTTTGTAACTTTTTTTTTTTTTTTTTTTTTTTTTTTTTTNTTTTTTTTTTTTTGAATATGATCTTCATTGCGCCAAATGGTGTATGAAATCGGTGTTTTTTTCGAGTCATTTTCCATTTTCAAAAAGCCATTGTAAGTATATCGTAATTATGGGACATCTATGCATTTTTGTTCATCTGAAAGAAAGAAAAAAGCATAGCTGTCTGTAATAAATACAAAACGAAACAAACGCAATTTTCGAGAGAAGAAAATACTTTAATCCCAACCAATCCGCCACCAACGAACTTACAAAACAAACATTGATTAAATTAATGCGCAACGAAAATAATGTGTTTCAATATTTTCCCAGTATTTTCTATACAAATAAGTTTTACCTGTTTGTAAAACAGGTGACAATAGACAAATTCTTACAAAATTCGTTTTGAATAGTTTCAATACGAGAACATTCATTTTTAATACGTATTCGAGTATCTACGCACACTTGAATGCCAGTTAGTGTCTTTAGACAATATTTACCATAATAACATTGTCACATGTATGTGTAACGACTGTATTTTTGCCTACCTGCAATTGTCTGTGTATTGATAAATAACTTCGTTATTTGTCTACAACATTTATTATCATAATCAACCTGTATAGTAAATGTCTTTTAGTTACAAGTTATCTAATTATGATACCATTTAATATTGTCTCGATTGAAAACAGTTCGTGTTTACAAGTTTAGAATCATCGAGTCGGTGATGTGTTTACGTCAGTCGTGCGCTATATTTAGAATCATGCTGTCACATGGACTCGCATGTATCTGTTCCGTACGGCTGAAATAATCACTTACCGACTCGTAGATACGACAGCCTAGTATGTCGAGAACATTATCTTTATAGGTTGTTATGTTGTCACTCATGATTTGTTGTATTTTGGTTGTAATCCATGTTTATGCTATGCGAAGCCTGTCAAACAGACGACTCATCCGCCATTGCAGATGTGCGTTCGGAGCTCTCGGGCTTTATTGAGTTATTTAGTTATAGTGTTCCGTGCCGAGAGACCCGAATATACTAAATTCTGATTGGTCAGAAGTTTTGGAGAAGGGTATAAAAGTTGGATCCCGCGGCAGATTCAACGGAGTTCGCCCATGATCTCCTAACCAAGCGGCCAGGCTTTCCTACCCTCCTACACAGTCCAAGCAACCAAGCTTATTACGAGAGTCCAGCTAAACACCAGGACCATGGAGGTAACTACTACCGTAGTGACTAAGTAGGCCTACCGTCTCCAATACAATACATATAGATACAAGTCTCCTTCATGGCCTTAGGTTATGATACGCCAAGAATAACACCAAAATATATTCTAAGTCCGCCTAACCACGGGTGTGATACTTAGATATTTTGGACTAGTATAGTTTACTTAGACATACATTAATGTTCATTGTTTATGAAAGGTCTTAGATAAAACATTTTCCAATATTAAAACCTACTTCGGTACATCCACGTCCGAAGTTGTTACAATATATTAAGGATACTTAGCCCTTACTATTTTTTAAGTATCCATTAAGGATACTTACTCATCACTTTTATTTATAACGGCACTCCGTCGTTATTCTCAATTTCTATTATATATTAATTAAGGATGCCATTGTGTACAGTGTTTGAAGATATGAAGTTGGGATTTGAATAAATATCAAAGTTAAATTGTATTTCTGTCTCGAGTTGTTGTTGGAGTAGAGTAGTTAACAGAACAACCAAAGGAGCCAAGAGCCAGGACCAGACGGATCCAAGATGGAGTAACCAGAATATACCTTTGATCAAAAAGTATACACTAACACTGGAAACACACTCCACGACGTTACACATGCATCATAATTAACACACACTTGGGCTATCTTAGTTGTTCATTAAAGATTAATGTAAGATAAGGACCAACAATCTAATTCAGTTTTACTAAAATTGAAACTGGATGGTAGTTTAAAAACAGTTTCCTTAGAGCTTGGAGACGCCCATAAGAAAGAAATCACGAAATTGAAATTCACATGGGCACTGCAGCCCACCACTCTTGTTCCAGCTTCACATTAGTAATCAATTATTTGATTAGAGCCTGCTGCTTGTTCAATTTTCCATAGTTATAAACCTTAGATGAAAGATGAAAGACCTGGTTTGTACTTCGATCAGATCAGGTCGTTTTTAATATGGATCATCATTCGTACTGTCAATTATCAATATAGTGTTTTCAAGCATGATTTAGCTTGTTAGAGTTAAAAACTCCAAATTGTATTTCTCTTATTTCAGACCAAGTCAGTATAGACAAAGCTTGCACATTTTCCTCTTCAACCAAATAACTCTCCATCGTCCTTACATCTTTATAGAAGACAGTCGTCTATATTCAGACTTATCACTTTGTCTGCAATGACACCATCACTAAAGAAACGAGCTGATGTTTCCATTTTATTGTAAACATGAGCACGAGTTTAGAAAAGTTGTTTTCAGTGAGCTAAACATTTACATGTGATAAGCAACAACAATCTCCTCAAGCAACGATTGTGTGAACAAAGATCATTGTTCAAAATCCAATAGACACCTGTTTAATTGTATTCCTCATTTCATACCGATCAATTTTACACACGAAACATTCTTCCTCGGGAAAATCTTTTGGATCGGATGGATTGCCTCCTGACTCGGTTGAAAATATTCTTTTGTCCTTTAGAGAATCCTGTAATATTTATCACTGCATTGTTTTACATACAGCTTCACCAACCTTTATACCTTTATTAAGATATTCGTGTAAGAACTAAGGGATACTTTCTTTGAAAATAGAACTTAAGGAACTTTACTATGAGACTTGCAGAAAGATCAAAGCCGGCTAGAAGGTACGATCAAATACCAAAATAGCAACTAAAAGGTTGGTATATGCAACAAGAATAACTTCTACATAACAGAATATACGTTGTGAAGTACGGTAGCAACAAGTCAATCGATATATATAGCATTTCTCCTATCTATGATTGTTAAGAAATAAGTTAGTCAGTCGTTCAAATTATTTACTCTATCAATTTAAAGACCAACTTTACTGTTGGTAGACACGATGTGTGTGTGTGTACATACTGTCTGTAAAGAATACTGACTAACGAGGAGAAGGGTCAGAACTTCGGATTGGTGTAGTAGTTCTTTGTAAATATGTGAGATAGAATACATCTATAAAGATATGAAGATTGATTTTAAACATGGATGTCATGACCTAATTACCACCAACATAAAGTATTAGAATTATCAATTGGTTAATTAGTATGTGTAATATGTTTTAGATAAATACATTTGTCTTAACAAACTTCGTTTTTTTTCCAATCAGTAACATGAATTACAAAATTGTTAGTGTGGTCCATCAAAACTCTAATATCGCAGAACAGCAAGGGATAGCCATCAAACAAAACAAAGAAGAATGTGCATCTAGTCTGAAGGCATATTTATGCTACAAGATATAGTATTTAATACACAGACTTTTCCCAGAGTTTCTCGAAAACCTACTCTTCCTAAGTAAATGTAAAGACGTTCATATTCAATCTGATTATTTGTTGGTCAACAGTTAATACTATTGTTTTCCTATTTGCCAATCAAAAAGACACCTGTGAAATCGTGTAAGTATATGTAAAACGATCTTGCTTGATTTGTCATAAACAAATCAGTCTAACAATTAAATACTGCATCCACTTCTGTGTTCGGTGTTAAGATTCTGTACTTAACAACTACTAAATCGTCAATTTGTATCAAAAGACATCTATTTGGTTGACCTTGATTACAATACGATAGACTCTAGTGTGCTATTCAGCTGTTTTTTGAGGTTTCGTTTATTATATTGGCATTCATTTCAATATCTAGCAAAACAATTTATCTTCATCAAAAGCTATTTATGATTTTTTATAATGTTTTACTGGGAATGGTAATAAACTCCAGATGAGTCGTCAACCTGTAAACTTAAAACATGAATAATTGTTTGACCATGTTCATTTTGCAATCCAAGGTCTTAAATAATCTTAGCAGTAGATAGAACGTTAAACCAATCAAACCAACCAAGGTCCTACTAAAATCTTTTGATATAATTTCAATACAATTTGCAAATTTCCATGTATTAAGACATGTTATGGATTTAGAAATCGAAAACCTACATGTGACTGCATATATACACTGTTAAACACATTTTTGGCATATTGAAAGCGTCTTCAAAATAATTGGGGTTACGTCTT